TACTCATAGTGAAAGAGCTGACTGATGGGTTGGGCCCAGTAATCAATTAAATGGAGATACCTGACTTTTTCTTTGCCCCTCCTCCAGCCGGAGAACTTGCTGGTGACTCACAGCTCCAGCGGCCAGCCAACGGTCAAACTCATAGACTTCGGTGACGCCGTGCAGCTAAACAGTGCCCACTATGTGCACCCCCTGCTGGGCAGCCCTGAGTTTGCCTCCCCAGAGTTGGTCCTTGGAGAGCCAGTATCGCTGACCTCTGACCTGTGGAGCCTGGGCGTCGTGACGTACGTGCTGCTGAGCGGTGCCTCCCCTTTCCTCGATGAGAGTGCAGAGGAGACCTGCCTGAACATCTGCCGGCTGGACTTCAGCTTCCCCAGGGATTACTTCCAGGGCGTCAGCCAGGCGGCCCGGGACTTTGTGTGCCTGCTTCTGAGGACCGACCCCAGCAGGAGGTGTCCAGCCGGGCTCTGCCTACAGGAGCCATGGCTGCAGGCTGGTCTGGCTGACGGCCGAGCTAGAGCCGAGGGCTGCCTGGACACCTCCCGCCTCATCTCCTTCATAGACAGGAGGAAACATCAGACTGACGCACGGCCCATCGGAGGCGTCAGGAGCTTCATCCAGAGTCGCCTTCAGCCCCGAGTGTGAGACCTGAGAAAGGATTCACAAATCTCAACCAACTCCCTCACAGCGCCTCACCGGTTTGACCAGAGCACAGGAGAAACTAGACACACTTGTGTTTGTCGTCCGACGCTGAGACCACAGGGGCTGCAGATTCCTTTGGAACTGAGCATCTCGATTGTCTAGATGTAAAAGGAGGAGAAACCATGAATGCTGATCTTATCCTGTTTCACAGAATGTTGATTTACTCGAGTCCTGTTGTCCTCTTCTCAATTAATGTGAGACCTGTTGAGGTCTCAAGCCAATCAGAGCCCTAGAGAACAGAGTTTTCACTTCCCAGGTAAATTAATGTACCCCTTGTCTACTGCTGCTTGCTGGATTCAACTCAAAACAGATTTTGTAGTTAAGTGATCAAAAATGTAAAAAAAAAAAAAAAAAAACTTTATGGAGGTAATTTATTTTCCTTTGCGAGAGTTAAAGCTGATCAGAAGAGCCAGTTGATCGAGCCTTGACACCACTGCACAAGCGCAGAGCTTTCAGGAGAAAGCGATGCCGACAGAGCGAGTGTTAGCGCTGAGAGCAAGCCGCCCTCCCTCTGGTGGAGAGAGAGCGACACGGACATGGTGCGATTTTGCTCTTTTACACTAAACTGTAACTCAAAGACATTTTAGGAGCAGCCCTTTCTTATAGAAACTATGTATACAAAGGAAAAGTACCGTCTCTACGTTTCCACAAAAAAAAAAAAAAAATCAGTTGTAGAAAATGCAAATCAGTTGAAAGTTGCTGTGCTACTTGGACTCTAGACAGTGAGCGAGCTTCTTGACTTTACTGAGACATTTATACGTGCGATCAGAGCTCTTTGATGGCTGCGCTTACATAACGTACCTAATCTAAGATACCATGATGACCATGTTGCGAGTAACAATGCTGCACTGTCCAATCTGAGAAGAAACACTAGACATCATCGTTTGCTTTTCCTAGAACAAACTTGTGTTGCGCAGATGTGAGATGTTTAAGCCTTACCTTGTAAATAGATGTCTGCCTTCTTTCAACTCACATTCACAGTGTGAGTGAGCGTCGGAGGTGGTCGTCGGGTAGATGGGGAGTGAATGTGGAGGCAGAGGAAGACAAATTACTGTAAATGCACTCATTGTATGTTATGTTTGATTATCATGTGCAATGTTGCGGCTTTAACATTTTATGCAACTATTTATGAAGACATCTGTTGTATCTGTAATAAATCTAGAGAAAAGCATGTACTTGGTACTGCAAGCACTGCTGGTAGTTTGTGTTTATTTGGTCTTTGAACGTGACGACTTCCAGGCAAAAGGTCAAAGGTCACCATCTAAAATCATCATGGGCTAATCAAAATGTATCATCTAACACTTTTTCTACTGTACGCCTCTGTAGTATTGGTACACCAAAGTTACTCTAGCTTTATAGTACTTAGCAAAAAAAAAAATGTTTGAATGTGATTATGCATCACTTGAGTGAGGTCATCTATGATCATGTGAAATGATTGTTTACAGGAGCAGGGCAGACGTGGGGTTAAAGAAAACATCGACTCCTTTGATTCGGAGCAGGAGCTGAATGGATCATTTGCTAAATGGTGTTTGTAACTTTATGTACAGATACTTGTTGCTAAAATATTTTATTCCATCAATTTCTGTTCTTAATATAAGAAAAACTAAAAACCGTGATCAGCAGATGAATTTTGGTGAGATGTAGTTTGATAACCATGGTACAATTTCCAGACTATAATTTAATCCAGAGTGAGGAGGTGTCACATTGAAATGGATTCTACCAGGAACACAAGTCTTCTGTTACCTTCCTATTTATTTTAAAGGCGTGCACAGACAATTAGAAACAAAAAAACTTGGACTGGATACCTCAGTTTAGAGTTTTGTTCTGTTATTTCATCGTTTGTCTTGTTTTGTTTCAGTTTCATGAATTACATGTTTGTTATTTGTTTGTTTCTAGTTTCATAAATTACACGTTTATTCGTTTTTATGTTTTTTATCTTTGCATGTATATTTCTTTGTACAGTTCATACATATTTTCTCGTGTAAATATTGTCATTTTGCCATCAGTTATTTGAAAATTAAACATAATGAACACATGTACGCTGTTTGACACTTTGTTTCCTCAAGTCTTATTTACGATTTCCTCTTTAGTGTTTGTTCACTGTCTAAGAGGGGGAAAAGAAGCTATTTACCACACAGAGTTTATTAAAGCTCAAAGAGAGAGTTCTAACAAACATTAAGCTGAATTTTGATGAGAGTAGATGGAAGTCTTTTGGGTCAATGACAAAGTAACAACACATTTCCATATACACGTGATATATATATTTTTGAGTCCAGAACATTGTCTTTAAACAAGTCTCATTTGCTAAACAACTTTTCAAACCACTTTAATTATTGAACAGTATTTTTAACTGCACATCAAAAATATCAGCTGGTGCAACAAAATACTTGTAAAGATATATTTAGATTTTCCTTCAATTTATTTTAGGTGACATTTTTGGCAAGTATCCCTCAGAGTGTCTACACTTATTATTATTTTGAGGCTGTGTTTCGAATTCACAATAATTTTTGCATTCTATTAGCCAAGTATTCAATATTTTAAGCACTTGGATTTAAAGGTGAAAAATAAAACATAATAACCATTTGTTCACTTATTGGTTTAAATTAATATTTGATCTGGTAGCTCCACATGGCAGGAAATATTCTGAATGATTGTGGTTTTATTTCAAATACATAAAAACGTGTTTTACTGATTGGGTCATATCCTGCAAATAATGAAAAAAAAGATTAGTCCACCAGAGGGCACCAATGCTCCTGGGCTCAAATCTTTCTTTAACAACACTTAAAGTGATATTTTTAAAGTTAAGTGTCTGTGTCAAACATTAATATCGGCCGATGTAGCATCCGATCTTTTAAACTCTTATTGGTATAAAAGACATAACCAAGGAAATATTCCACATTTTGGAGATCCTGGATTTTTTTCATGAGCTGTACTCATCAAAACAAAAACAGGCTTGAAATATTTGACCTGTAATGAATTTACAATATATTCAAGTTTCACTTTTTGAATTCAATCACGAAACATATATTTCCACTATATATTTCTTTAAAGATATATAACTGTATTAGCTTTTCTTGACAAAGGAAGTTTTACTCAAAATCATGGTCTGCCGCGCCCTCTAGCGGCTGTTTACTGGCATTACGAGCAGTTGATTGTCGGGCCTCTGATGATGACGTGAATATTTATGATTCTCTGATTGTAAACTTCATCTGATGACCGTCAGGTGGCGTCATAGTGACATCATCATCATGTCTGCCTTGTCCATCATGATATTGTCCTTCTCATCTGTCTTGTTCTCAACACTGACGTAAAGTACCGACCTGAATGAAACCAGCCTGTGAGAGATGAGCTCCAGAGATTCCTTCCTCCTCAAACACTGATGTTCCTGAGTGGAATCAAAACACTTGATCAGAAGTTGACGGAAGCCTCTCTCACACATTACGTGTAGTTACAGTCACATTCTTGGTTTGTAATGTTTTGCATTTCTTTGAGAAAATAAAATGACGGTGTTTGTGTTCTGACGGACACAGTTCGCTGCAGGACAGCAGGTAAACCACACGCTGGTGTTTGTGTTCTGACGGACACAGTTCAGTGCAGGACAGCAGGTAAACCACACGGTAGTTACCTGAGAGAAGCAGCGCGCTGACACCGCCCGGCTGACGGAAGTGAGAAGCAGCTGAAGCAGCTGAAGCAGACTGCAGACACTGGAGACACCTCAGGACGCTGACTCTGGAGTCAACATGGCGTCAGGTGCTGCAGGTCGTCATCAGGACCGAGGCTGCAGGTGTGAAGCCGCCCCCCCCCCCCTCCAGCTGCCGCCGCCGCTGAGCAAGGGTGCGTTTGATTATCATTATTATTATTATGAGTTACAACAACTCAGTTTATGTTTGTTTATGTTTTATCAGTTGTTGTTGTTGTTGTTGTTGTTGTGGTTGTACCAGCAGCATTATTACAGTTATTGTTTTATTTGTATTTATATCTACTCTGTCAACAATATTATTATTACTATTATTATTAGTAGTAGTAGTAGTAGAAGTAGTAGTAGTACCAGCAGAATTATTATCAGCATTATTACAATTGAATTTTCATTTTTATTTATATCTACTCTTTGTCATAATTATTATTATTAGTAGTAGTAGTAGAAGTAGTACCAGCAGCATTATGATCAGTGGTCTAGCAACCAATAACAGCAGGTGTTGTGATGCTCTGACTGAGGAGTGACACCAGACCATCTGAGAAGGAAACTCAGCTCTGAGTGTTTGGAAAGGGCACAATAACACACCAGCAGTCCAGCTCTATTTTGGTTTATAGCAATGTTGTCTTTAATTCTAATTTCCAATAAACACAGAATATATCAGTCCCTTATTTGTACAAAAATACCTGAACAGGATACAATGTAGATCCAGGAGCCGTACAGACAGAATGTAGCAAAGCACAGTAGGGGATCTGAGAAAAAAAAAAAAAAAAAGATTCGGTTCACTTGCTCTTTTTTTCTTTCCCTGAAATATTTATTTGCCGTCAGCTTATGATGACTCCAACCCAAAAATGAAACATAACCGAGTCAGATTCACTTCCACCTCCACTGTGAGTCACTTGTGTCGATGGGACCTGTATGTGACGTAGACCTGACATAAGGATTTATTCCAGTAGGATTATGTTTCACATTCACAGCTGACTGTAAAAGAACACAGTGAGTGGCACCTGCTGCAAGAATACGCTTAGTTAAGAAAAAGAATAAGTAACTTTGTTATGCACCTTAAAATCTGAGTAAATGGACATATTGAAATGCACAATCCTCTTGAGCTACTGCGTATAATTGTTCTACTTGTGATGAAAATTGTACAAAAGCTGCTGAGAATATCCCCATGGGTTCGGTGTTGGTGTGTGTGCTCTCGATGAAAACCCACTAATGTGTGTGTGTGTGTTGATCGCCATCATTTACTGGAGTTTTGTCCTGGGAGTAAATGAGTGGAACCAGACAGACGGAGAGGGGATATTCAAAAGACATAGTCTGAAAACAAAATGGCATTATTTGATGCTGTCAGAGTTGTAGACTCTGTCAGCCTGTCAGCTTATATGGACAACTGATGTGCAGAAATTTGACATAAGCCAAAAATCCAGTTTGATCTCTTAAAATAAAAAAACAGCTTAATTTAATACTGTATATAATGTGGTATATTCTTTTTTATATATATATAAAAGGTCATTTTGTGGCAAACCAAAGAAAAAAAACACAATAATGTCAATTATACACACAATCAAATAATGGAGAAGAAAAAAAAGGACAAAATAAATCATTCTTCATTTTACATGGTGTTATGAGCAAAAGCATAACGCCCCATACATAGTGATCTGTGACCTAGGTACAGTGTTACATCTATGTCCTCTCCATAGCTTCACATACTTAGAAAACAAATGATACTGTACACTGGTATTGTCATATACTTGTACTTTACGTGTGTATAGGATTGCATTGTAGCACAGTGATTAAAAATGGAGAGGGGAGGAGAGGACAGAGTCTGCCCCCCCCCCCAGCTGACCCATAGTGATGTGGCTTTGCATCCCTCACTGACAGACAGGAAAGAATCCTCAGCTGAGGACCGGGAATGCTGGGATACCTCCAGATACCTCCTGTCTCATCTAAATCCACGACTTAACCCCGACCGATCAGCAACTTTCTGCTTACTGTCTCTAAAAAAAAAAAGGCAAGTATGATAACCAGCAGAGTCAGCAAGAGTCAGTCTGGCTTTTCCACACGCACGCACGCAGGCAGGCACACTTATTCACCACAGGGTCATAGCTTACAGGCTGGACACAGGTGGGACGGGGGGCGGGGGGTTCAAGCATTATCCAATCCCTGGAGAGAGTCTGCCCTGGCTGACTACAAAAGGCCGGATTGGCGGGGCGCAGAGCCAGTGAGTCTGGTCAAGTCACGCGATTGGTGGACTCGTGTGGCAGTGGCTTGCGTGTCAATGACAGTACTTAGAGAGTTTAATTCACCTGGCAGGGAGTCTGACGGCCTCGTGCTAACCCTGTTCACCGTGGATCTGGCACAGGATGGAGGGCAGTTCCAGGTGAAGGCAGGAGGGGCGGAGGACGAGGCTAAGTAGGTGTTATGTCACATGTCTGCAGCTTTTTATTCTGCCGCTCTCACGACAGCAGGAGAGGCCAGAAACAGGTCTTCTATGGGGGTGCTTTTTTTGTTTTGTACTCCTCAGATGATCTGTCAAAGCCGCTTTGTATGGATGTAGCATGTAGCATGTGAAAATAGTTACTCTGGTTACTCGGTTCTAGAAAAATTCATGTTTCATGCATGCAGACCAACTCAGGCTCGTTTTTGATATGACCTGCTAAGAGTTGAACATTTTCAAATCCTGTACTGGCTTTAAGATGGATGTTTTTGTTCTGCAGAGGGCAAACTTTTTTAGCCTAAGACCTACAGTTTCTCTTTCTCACTTCCTCTCCCAGAATGCTTTTCAAAAACTACCAGACAGAGGCCATGTTGTTTTTAGTCGGAAATTGGATGGTACGCAAAAAGATAGACCTGGAAGGGCTGTGAATGAGACATTTACAATTTTAATAAATTGGTGGATTGTTTGATCAATGACATATTCAAATAGTTATTATGATCAATAAATCCCTATTTGCGAAAATAATCACTGCAGTTTTTTGGGGCATTTTGCTGCAAAAACCAATCACTGATTATCCAAATAGTTGCCACTTTATTTTCTGTCCACATTGAATCATCCCTCATAACGGTGGAGGACTTGGCTCGACCATGATGGATTTCTCTCTGGGTGATTGTTCAGGAAAGACTTCCTAACTGTTTGCCTCAGAGGGACTGACACCACAACGTGACGTTAACCGGTGACACCACCAGGCGACCACGCAGCTGCTGGCAAATTAAGTTACACTTTCTGTCAAATATCTGCAGAAGTAACACAGCACCAGACAGGAAAACAGGGCCCTTGCATCACCTGTAGTATGAGATGAGTGGAAATAATACTTTCTTGTTGGGGGTTTGATGATAGGGTCAATGCCACTCTCTGTACATTAAAAATGTATGAAACTACAGTCAGCAGCTGGTTAACTTACATTGCCTTGAATGAAGCCTCAAAGTCTTGTTTTTACATTTAGGCTATTAAACAGATTTAACGAGCAAAACACAACATATTAACCTGTGAGTTTTAGAGGAACTGGTAGGTACGTTTTATCACCTGCTGACAGTAGCTTCTTCTCTAGCGTGCAGACATGAGAGTGGTATCCATATCCTTGTTAAACTGTTGGCAAGAAAGAGATGAAGAGCATTTCCACAAATTTGAAACTTCTTCTTTAACATAACCTTAAAAACTCACGATGTTGTTGAATCTTAAAAGTCTTAGATGTGTTACTGTATGTGCATTTTTATACAGCTTCTATTTCATACACAAAGCTCACGATTTTCACTTAAGGCGAGTGAAGCTCAGTCGACCGCGTCTGGACACCCAGTTGTCCGAGTTCACATTTCAAGTCATTTGTTCAATTCCATATTCAAACACAAAAAAGTCATGGGAGTGCTTTTGTTGATTTGTCTTTTCTGGAGTGTGGGAACAGTGGTCAGAATCCGAACGTGACAGCTCCAACTCATCATTATCAAATTAGGAGAATTAAAATGTGCAAGCAGTGAGATCAGAACAGACTTAGGAAGAGAAAATGACATTCAAAGATAAATTCAACAACAGATTTAACCCTTCGATTTAGAAAAAATGACTGAAATGGTAGAAGCTGGAGGGTGAACACACTTTTTAGGAGTCTATTGAACCGTTCTTCCTCCTCCTCCTCACTGTCGTGTAACAGCCGGTTCAAAAGCACATTCTTTTTTATCCGTGGTGTAGTCATGTCGGTATAAGCCACACGTAGGTCCAAGATGTTCCCAAACCTTTCTGAAAGGCACTGCATAATCAGCCACGACTCTCTTTGCTCCCACGCCACTGTAATCCAATCAGAGCTGGTGGAAATTTACATGCATGCTATTCAGAAGGGCGGGGTGAAGGAGGAAGAGGAGGACGACCAATGGAGAGCAGCCAGGTTCATTTAGCTAGAGAGAACAGCTGTCGTCTGTCCGCCCAGGAGTGCAAAACTAGTTCTGCATTGAATCAACAGTAATTAAACAGCATTAAAATGACATCAAGTAATCAACTCTACAAGAGAGGCTTGTTACAGCCTCCCTGATAAACATTCCTCTGCCCTTTCAGCAAACCCTCGCCACTGCTCTGCTTATCTAGCCTTCAGCCACTTCTCTTTTCTCCTCCGACTTTTTGTCTGAGCTCGTGTGGAGGCGGGGATCGGGGGTTGCACCAGGGGTTTTTGGGATCGTGGGGTAAGACACAGCAGAGACGCTGCGTCAAGTCTGCTGCGGGTGGAGGGGGGGCGGGGGATCAGCTTATCCAGACTGGACTGCACAGGTTGAGAAAACTCTTGGATCGAGTTTGATAAGACCCAGAGAGGTTCCTGTCCATCCCTGATGATTGATGAGGAAGTCAGAGGGTGGCGTTTCCTGCCTGCCTCTGTAGTGAGGGGGCGAGGGTGGGCAGGAACCACAGCTTATCAGGCCTGGAGGATGGGGGTGGAAGGTTGAGGGACTTTAAAGGAGGGATCCATCTGAGAGACCCGTAGCTGAACAGATCATCGCCGTCCTGTGTTTTCACAATGAATGGTCTCTCTCAAGGGTCAACATTGTATTGATATAAACAGACAAGTCTCTGTGATAAAATCGCAGGAGTTGGGCGACTGTCAGGTCCACAATCTGCAACGCTTGGACCTTTCAAATGGTTCCCATCCACACATCCAAACAGCGGCAAGGCAGAGAAAAGCATAGCACATTGGGGACATCAAACCTGAAACGGCGGCTTCTGCTGAGTTGTTCATATCCCCAAAACTCGACATTAACTTTTCTCTGTCTCCTCGACCTCATTGCGTTGGTGAGGGAGGGGCAGATGGGTTGGGGTGGGGGACGTTGGGCAGGCTCTCGGGGAGATAGGTGTGCAAAAAAAAAGGGTGGAGGTGTGTGTGTGAAGGGGGAGGGGCTGGAGTGTCACAAGGCCACAGTGGTGCAGGGGTGTTTGAGCTTGCAGGGCAGCACTCCTCTGTTGAGCTGGTAGAACTCCACCAGGTGGATCAGGTCGGTGAACTTGGTGGCGCCGTCGTCGAGGCTGAAGAACACCTGACCGTCCTCCTCACACTTCAGATCCCAGCCAAAAGAAGGAGAGAGGACAATTCAGTTTCAAATAAAAACAAGTACATGTTTATCACGAAGAGCTACTAAAGAAAGGCTGGACTGTACTGAAGAACATGCGACATTAAAAGGTGGCAGCAAATGGAAAGATGTCAAATCCACATCAACAGGCTATCGTGTAATGAACTGTGGCTCTCGGTATGTCAATGACGGCCTGTTGGTCAGTCCACCAGATTGATTCTGACTGAAATACTATTAGATGTATTACAGTGAAATGTTGTTCAGATACCCACTAACCACCCAGGAATAATTCAAGTTTTAAACTGGCATTACCAAATTTCAACAAGTCTACAATTTTGGATCATGACAAATAACTATCAGAACGATAGATACCAGCCATGATGAAGATTTGTTAACAATGCTGTGCCTGAATACACAACATATATTCTCATAGAGCTGTGAGCCTGTCTGTAAACACACATGCTAGAATGGCTCTATTCTTTTATGGCTTATCTTTGACATTTTCATAACCATTTTCCAGTGTTCAAATGCAGTTGTTTGTTGTCACAGCATTAGAAATCTCCTTTCAAGCAAATATCACACAATGTCTACAAAGTCAACCAAGGTTTCCCCACGGCTATACATACCGCTCAGTGTGTGTTACAATTTATAGCTGTTATAGTTGTTGTATAACTCAAGCTGATTTCAGTATTGTGTCTAAATAAGTCCATACAGATATGTTGGGGAGGAAGGAAAACCCTAATTTCAAAATCTTTAAAAAGCTCTGCATGAAAACCTTTTGAGATCCAGCTTTTAGAGCTGATCGCTGTAGATCATGAAATCCAACATCATCTTATTGGAATGTCCTAATAAAAACAGAGAGTATAGTGCTGTGATCTGCCTCTCTGGGCTTCACTCCAGTGGATTTTACCAGGAAGCGTGAAACATTTCCTGCAGCAGTGTGTCATGTGACTGACCGGTAGGATCTGGAAGTGCTTGATCTTCTGGTGGTGGCACAAGGTGAGCACGAATGCTTTGGGATTACTCTGACTGTCCCGCAACAGGAACAACCTGAGACACACACACACACAACATGAGTGAGAGATGTTTCAACTGTTGGGAGAAAAGTATGATGATGAAAGTAAGAAATGCTGTACATGAAACTGCTCAAATCTATTTCAGTGACTATGGAATTTAAAATGACTGATGAAACGCTGCAGCACGGGTGTGACTCTTATAGAACCTTATCTTAATCCGCAGGCTGGAGGTAAAATGTGCTGCTGACACGTCAAAAAGACAAATTTGGACTCACATTTTACACAACTAAGCTTTTTGCTCAGCAGCTGTTCAATTTAAATTTTTTAGCCTTTTAAAATTATATAATATATTTATATGATTCATTTTCAAACATTATAGAAGCTTTCAGTTCCATTTCACATGAACATGAATCAGCCTCTCAACCTTTTCCCACCCAACACTGCTGATCTCTTACCCGTCTACTTGGCCTTGTTGTATGATCATTCTGTGGGCCTCCTCTCTCATGATGCGACCATGAAACCATACCTGTGTCCTGTGGATCACTGAACACAGACAAACACGAAGTCAGAACCAGTGCATCAACCAGCAATAGACTTTACTGGTCATTGTGGTGTTGCCGGGTTTGTAAAATCAGTGTGTTGTTGTTGTTCCACTGGTCAAAAAACCACTTACAACCACAAACATCAGTTTTTTGTCTGCAGTGGGAATGGATACAATCAGCAGGATCAAATGACTCTGCAGGAGAGACAGGTTTTAATCAGCTACGGCTTCGATCAACAGTGATTGAAATCTGACACCCAATCGAATGCTCTAATGTGGTAGGTGAGAGAGTGGCTACGTTTTTGGTGAATATTTGACGTCGAAAAATGAAGAACTGGGCAAACTCTCCTCTGGTTTATGGAGTCAATCACATCTGCTAATGTAGTTGAAAAAGCGGTAGAAGTGCGAGTACCTGTGCTCAGGGAGGAAGGGTGCAGGGGGCTGGGACTGCCCAGGACATTCATACGCTGGCTCCGTTTCTGTGGGGAAGAATTGACATTTTCAATAACATGTCAAAGCAGAATCAATGACAATAGCCTCAAGCTCCCCTGAGACTAATGCCTTTTTGACTTTTTATATCTCTAGGTTGATTTATTTGATTACTGCACGGTAAACCCACAAAGAGAATATGAAGGGAACAGCCGAGTTTTGCTCTGGCTCTGTGAGCTGTGATCTCAGCGACAGATAAGTGGAGCCGCATCTAACCTAAGTCTATGAAGGAAAGTGCTGGAGGGGAAGGATAAATGAGTTCAAAATGGTGGACAGCTCATGCACGCTGTTTCCATGAAAGTGAAAAAGCCAGTGATAACATTTTGGTAACGTCTAATGTAGTTTTATTGTTTTTTTAATTCAGGACACTGAATGTTAAAAGTAGATCGCCCCCGTCAGCCAAGGACCAACTGACCCCTTTAATTCTATCAAGCCACATCAGATTTCACACACTCGTCAGTTACATTTTCTTGTAATGTTAAAGAAAGTGTGAAAATAATCCTGGATCCACCCCCTGATCGTATCTAACCAGTCTCTCCTGACCCATACTGCATCTTTTCACCAAATTTCATGGAAAATCACACTGTGTAACTTCCAAACACACAAACCAACCATATGTGAGATAATAGAAATCTGTCATCATGACTTATTGGAGCTTTAAACCATCAAAATCTATGCTCATCCATCCCACAGGCCAAGTTTCACCTCCCTCCTTCTTACCCTCCAGGTCTGTCCCTCCTCCAGGGCGGCACTCTGGGCCTCGACAGGGTTGTCTATGACGCGGCCGGTCCGTCCAGAGAAGTCCATGGCAACCAAGGAGTTCTCAGACACGCTCCGCTGTTAGGGGAGACGTGGCAGGGGCGGGAGGGTGGTGGTGGGTGGGGAGAAGGGGGAGGGGGTACACAAGTAGTTGGGTAAAGGGGGGGTGGACAAGGGTCACAGGTCAAACAAGCCAGACACACTCACTGGGGCATGACAAATCCTGTCTGCACATAGACCCACTTCAGTCAATCCACAGAATGTCGCTCTGAGGAAAAGGAACAGTTCTCTCCTGCTTCCTCTGCACAAATTATTCAAGGTTTTTTTTTTTCATTAATTACTCAAACCTCCCTCTCTGACTGGAAATAAAGTCAACTAAATCCAAACAATCACCTGGCCACAAAATTGATCGATTTTCCAAAACATTGAATATCTGGAGCCTGAAATGTGGCCTGTTTCAAATTAGATTTTGGCTGAATTACACATGATAACCATGACTTTTTTACTCTAATATCTACAATTCTAATATAATTTTACACCAAAGCAAATATCCACCATTTATTTTTTAAATTGTATTTTAAGAAAAGTATTTCCTTATGATTGAACAGAATTTGGGTCTATGAGAATACTGCAAGCTTATCAAGATTTGTCTTTATAATCTGAAAGTCATAGTAATTGAATTTAGTGAGAAATGCAATCTTTCATTGTGAATCCTTTATGTTTGTGCTGCTGGTTGGAGAAAAGAAGACATTCAAAGTCATCATCATTATAGATGTCATTGTCACTTATATGACTGTAAGTGCTTAAACAAACCCCCCCTTCAAAAGTCTAATGTTGAAAAAGTACAAACTGTGCATGGATTCTGGAGATCTGTCACTTATTTTAATTCCTAAGGAGCTTATGAGACTTTTACCCACACCTCATGGTGTGTGGTGATTAGTCTTAGTGTAACACAGTATACAAATATGTGGGTTTCTGTTTGCTGCGTGTGCATTCCTTCCTGTGCCGTATGTACAGTATGTCTGAGCATTATGTAAATGTTCACCTCTGTAAAGAACTTTAGGATAAGATGTTATGTGTGGGATGTGCTTTTTGTTATAGACTGCTGTTGTTTAAATGAGCAGCCTGACCTGAATCTTGACCATAAGCCTTTCGCTGGAGAACCTCTTTCACTTCATCAAGGTCAACAGCAGCAGTGATCATTTGAAAAGAAGTTTGATTCAGTTTTTAACAAATTCTTTCTCTGCAAAATGCAAAAAATGAACTTGGTTGTGTCTTTCCCTCCTTCCTTTGTCACAATGTGAGCTGGTTTCCAATCCACCATCAGCTGATTAATGGATCAATGTGGATTGGTCTTGGCTGAGTGGAGGCATTAGAGCGGGGCTGTAAGAGAGTGATGTGAGAGAGTGGATCCTCACCACAGGCGCAGAGAAGGGCAGGAGGTTGGACTTCCTCTGCTGCGGGATGTTGTAGCTTTGATACAGGACTATCCCGTACTGTGAAGACAGGAGAGACATTAACTCACGCTTCCAAGTGCTGACAAATTCATTCATGCTGACACTTCATGAAAAGTGAATTTATTAAGTAAATGCTAGGTCGGATGCCAACTGGCAGAGTGTGTGACCTGTGGAGTAGTACAAGTGGTGGGAAAGTAAAGAAAGTACTTTGAGGAGCCTGAAAGCCGTCATCCAGCAGGTCCTGCTCTGCTCGTCCTCCGCACACAGCATCTTCAGCTCCTTACAGTCACTCCTCCCTTTGCTGGGCTGTCAAAAACACACGTAGAGGGACGTTACAATAATGACACAGACTCTACGATCATGTGAGCTCTCTGTTGTGGTTTTTCTGCGTTTTAGTTTTCAGTAACTGCTTTAATTTGATTACAACAAACCTATCAACCGTCAATTCAACGATGCTCCCTGAAGTGTTGTGACAATAGAGTCAGCTCACAGTTCTGGATGATACAAGGTTAATGAATGACATATGATTACAATCTGAATATCACTCCAACTAGCAATGACTAATTAAGTCGAACATCACAGCTCACACTTTCTGCCTGCTCCTCCATCAGTAACAAGGCCACACTGCTCCTTAAAAGCAACCCCTACTGATAAATGAATTCATGTTGTCATAGCAACTATCCAGCCACCCCCCAGCAACAAAGTAAAATCCTGTACGCAATCCTGCATGGTCATTTGAGTGTGTGTGTGTGTGAACGTGCGTGCGTGCGTTTGTGTGTGTGTAAGATAGAGGTGAGGGGGTTAGGCAGGCCAGATTTCCTGTACCATCCCAGCTTATTGTACTGGGCTTATCCCAGATCAGCAGGTGACACACCACAGATGACTCCTGGAGTGTGACACACTGTGCTGAGATTGTGTTTGAACCCCACTAGGTGGTTTTACCACTTTTACTAAATATCAGACGACCCCTCATCCTCTTCTACCAGGATGGATTTGGGAATACACACTATTGCAGCAATCTGCTTTACTTAGGTTGCTGTGTGTGTGTGTGTGTGTGTGTGTGTGTGTGTGTGTGTGTGTGTGTGTGTTACCTTGATGCAGAACTGGTAGTCTGTCGGGGCATTGTGAAGTTTTCTGCCTGTGATGATGGTGAAAATGTTACTGTCTTCCAAGTCTGACAGCAGCTGCAGATGCCGGGGCTCCTGTTCAGTCAGGAGAAGGCCGAGGTTGTCAACAACAACATGGAGGAAATGATCACAGACCGCTCTTTTACATTTGTGAATGTCTTCTGCTTCAGAGAAAGCAAAATAATGATGTTTCCCTTTTTTTAATTCTATTTTCATTTACAAAATATACATTTCACAGTTGATTTTTTTCTTAGATAGCATGTCAAACTTCCCGAAAGTAAGTTTGCGCTTATCATGGTAACTTCAGGGTAGATTATTGGTTTCTGGTCCTACGAAGCTTGTTTCCTTCTTATCTAGATAAATCACCATGGTTACTTATGCTGAACGTCTAACCTGGTCCAGAGCAGGTTAAGTTAGAGATAAGAGATCAACCTGTATAAAAGCTCCACCCACCAACCATCAATTCCTTTGAAACATGACATCACCATTCTTAGAGGATCCCATGGAGCTGGGTGTGGATTGTTAGGAGGAGTCTCTGAGGAGGACAAGGGTCTTCAGAGACCGACAAAATCCTTTGACCTACTCTGATGAGTGTCTTTATGAAAGATATGGATCTCATCAGAGGGAATGTTAAACTTGTGTCAGCTGCTGGAGCCGAATATAACCAACCTGACACATAGGAGCAATGTGCTCACAGTAACACAGTCTGGATCACTTTAAGTTAATGATATTTATGTACTGGGTGTGTTAGCGGTAACCAGAAATTGTTTGTATATGTTTATCCTTCCCATTAAGTAGATTTATCCTATGAAATTAAATATTCATTTGGAATAGGGATAGATAGTTTACAGATTTACCTTGTGATTTACCCCCCTCTCTCTCTCTGAGACTCAAACTGTCAGTCCTCACCAAAACTAGACTACACTGTGCACACTCTCCCTAAAGGGAAAGATAAGGGGAAACAATGACTGGTTGGTCGATCCCTGCTGCTAACACACCCAGTACATCTCAAACTGTACTGTGTGCCATGGCGCACGTACAGCTGTGTCCTCAGGGTCAGTGCAGACGGTGTGTGTCAAACTAAAGCCCATTATAGAGGCTACATCATGTGATTCAGTTTCATCTCTCATCCAAGAGGCCTCTTCAGTTCAGCTGGTCTTGTTAGTAAAAGAACAGATTCATATCTTGTGGCCCAGAGTTATTTATCTTGTGTAATTGTAATGTTAGATGGATCTCAGAAAGATATCCTGGGTATGTTGAACTTGCTTCGTAGTAAGCCTGAAACTGTGATTGTTGTAAAGACAATCGCTTTAGCACCAAGCATGCAGTACATTCATATATGTGAGTCCAGTGTTACAACAGGTTCAGTGCAGCACTAACTTATCACCTTGGATGTTCCTTTAGTAGAATAGTAGAGACCCGAGCGTCGCAGAAACATGTAGAGCTTCTTCCAGGACTTGCGTCCAGGCTCCTTGATGTGCAGATAGCCCTGGATCTCTGGACAACTGCTTGAGTTCAGAAAGTTCTGGAACAAACACACAACAGCATGTATTGAGAACATGGAGTGAAGTTTGTGTTTTTCATGCCTTTGCCATGTTTAAATGTACGTGTTAGGGATGTACGGTGTACTGTGTGCGTGTGACTTTTTACTTAGTCATTGCCTCACCTGTAAGAGCTGTGACTGAGGGATTGATCCATCGGACTCCTGACACCAAGCCACCATCTGCTCTGGAAAAAAGTTCTGGATGGAAAAGCACACAGGTGGACAGTGAGCGAGAGAGAAAGAGAGAGGACACTAAAGAACACTTGCATATGCAGAGTGGGGAAGTTTGTCTCTATACAGAATATCTCTCTCTCTCTCTCTCTCTCTCTCTCT